GGCATTGGTTTCATTTTGCTCAATTTTAACAAATTCATCGGACAATTTATTATTATTTTGTTCACTCATGATTAACAATTAACTTGAACCACACAATTTAACACTGATCAATTTAATCACTGTTGATTATTAAAACTTGTCGAGAGTCAATCTTGTTATGAGCCGAAATTTATTGATTCGTTTCGTTTTTTAAGAAACTTTTTCGTTTCCCTCTAACATTTTAAACCTCTCCCACTTTACTAATATTAATATTATTATAACATCGTACGATTTAATAATAAATATCTAGTTAATTATCATGATTAAAGATCAACAATTTATCTTAATCATCTTAAAAAAAACTAAGAGTTACTTTTAATAAATATGTAACAATCAACTCTTGGTACTTTTGGTTATGTTTCCCTATTGAAGGATAACTTCAATTTCTGGTTTTCTGGTTTAATTTGTTATCTGTTCAGAGTCTGATTGTAATTGATAAATTGTTGTAATAATTACTTAATTGTTGAATTAACTTAATTCAACAATTCTCTCTTTTTTTCCTATGCAATCGAGAGAGTAGATTACAATTAGCTTAAATTGTTCATAACGCTTCTGGTAAGATGAGATAATCAATCCAATATCTTATTGAACTTTGATCAATACAACTATTGATTTAATCATAATCTTAATCTTAATCATCAGATTTAATTGACAAATTTAATCAAATTAAAATTGCGAACTGTCAATCATGATGATTTAATGAATATTAAACTTTCTCTCTCATTAATTATTAGTTGATTTCTAATACATTTAGATAGTTAATCAAATTTTGTTTTCATTTAAACAAATTTTCCTAATAATTAAGTGGATGATTAATTGTTGCTATGGGTTAAATTATCTGTCTAATTGTGATTATAATTTGATTTATATTTATTTATTTTTATCTTGATTGTGAGGCGATTGACCATTTGATTTAGTTATCTAAATATTTAGACATCAATTAATTATTACAACTGGTTAATTGCTGTTAATGTGATAGTAAATTGGGTTCCTTTTAATTGTGATTACCTTTCGCCGTCTAGTGTAAGACACAATTAAAACGATTACCTTTCTTAATTGTGACAATTAGATTGTAAAACATACGAATGATAAAAGTTACTCCATTTTAGTTTTTGGTTAGTTAATTGTCAAGGTTAATCAAATCATCATCACCATCGTTATATTATTACAGTTGTTGGTTAAACTTGAAGGTGTGATAGATGTTAATTGTGATTAGAAACATTGTAATTAACAGATTATTATTAATAACCTTAGGATTGTGTTAATTAATGTTTATTGAGGAAGTTAATTGTTAACAGAATGACTCTGATAATTTTTTTTAACAACAATTATCTTTGTCATTGCTTGAAACACAATTAACTGATCCGTCATTAGATTTTCCTATTGTTGAACTTGTGTCTTCTTTGATTGTGTAAAACTGAATTAAATCAATCAGTTATTGATCGATCACTAATTAAACCAGCTTTTTGTGTGATATTCTCAATTTGATTAAGTCAAAAAGTTAATTATAAGCCATTATAACAAAAAAAAGAAACTTAATCAAAACTAATCAGAATAATTGATTACTGATTTTTAGATTGTTAGAAACAGGAAACAATTGACTTTAAACTTTCAAATTAACTCTGAAGTTTTGTTGATTCATCTGGCAATTATCAATCATGTCGTATGATGATTCTAGAAATCAATTCATTCCTTGTTGATAGTGATTTGACCAGAAATCAAATTATCCTGAACAATTGACATGAAAGATTAATTGTTTCCAAAGTGAAATTGTAAACCATTGAAACCATTTGGTTAATACTTTGAATCCATCAATGATCACCTAGAAATTAGAGCAATAAGATTGATTAACTTTGAGGTAATTAAATTTTCAACAAAATGAAGACATCAAGAGACAATAGTTTCAAGTTGATTACTTCCTATTTGCATAATATGTTCAAGGTACACACCCAAAACTCTAGTTCTTGAACAGATAATTACAGAGACATTACTAGGCTATCTGATCATTCATCAACAATTCATCATTCATGAACAATATGAACGAATGAATTTACAAATGATTTAAAGTTTGATTAAATCACAATTGTCCTTAGTTTACCATTATAATCGCACCTCTACCCTTATGATTGGTGATGGTTTTTACCTTTAACCCCAATAGGAAATCTTTTCATTTAGGATATGTCGCTGATATCATGAAGTGAGATAATTAACTTTCTCATGAATACATCAATGAACAATCAAGGCAGGATAATTTTGCTTAGATCATCATGTTCCAATTGAATCCTTTTTTTTCAATTCTTGTTCATTTTCACATATTCCCGTGGTTGTAACCCAATTATTGTCATATAATTGTGATGATTAATACAAAAGTACAATATGTAGAGTTAAATATCAGGTTGGTGTTTTCAACAATCTCCTGTTTAACTTTCTGCTCTCAACTGTTTGTCAATCCTCTGGTTCCTAGAAATCTCATGGTTGAATCATGCTCACTGTTATAACCAGAATATTTCATGTCTCTTCTGACTCTTTTGGACGATATTCATGGTAAATCTTCACGTGGTTAACATGCTTGATGAAAGATTGCAAGAAAGAGTAGAAATGAAATAGACTGAAAAACGAAAGTAAAATAATTTGGTTGCTCCTGGTATTCTGGTGGATGACCTGCAATATATTGATCTCGTCTATGGTAAGAGAATGAGAGAGAAACAGTTTATTATTTCAACAATGATGAGGTAGACAAAAAAAAAGATGAAAAAAAAATCAATCTTTTGTAGCATTAATCTTACCATGAACAGTTAGAATAAAACAAACAGGATATCTCTTTGGTTCCTTGCGAACCTGAGTCATCAATATCACCACTAACATCACAAAAATAGTTCATTAATCTTATATAACGTTAGTAATTTAACTTTGTATGTCCAGTGTGATTATCACCTTCACCTCTGACTTGAATCTGTGGATTGAATAGAGAATAAGAAAAATAATATTCAGAATAATTGAAGAAACATGATGAGGTTGACATTTGAGAGAAAAGAAAAAAAACTAACCTTGACTTTTGATTCTCTTTATAACGGTAACCATTTTGTTTGTTTTTGGCGAGAAAATGATTGAGTAAATGATGAGGAATAATCTTGCACTTTAAACCTTCATCTTTCTCTGAAGAAAAAATATTGACACAAAAGAGAAAATGATTGAGAAAAAGGAAAAAAAAATTCTCACATTTCATTTCACCAAAATAATTTTGACCACAAAGGTTAACCAATTTTTGCTCCTTTGCCAAATGAAAGAAAATGGCGACCAACGTTTCGAGTTTATTTTCTGTTCTCTTTCCTTTTTTTTCCAATAACATCCCTTTAGAATTTCAACTTGAACTGTTAATCATTTGGAATCAAAATTAACTAATCAACGAAACCATCAACAAACCTTGAAGATCCATTTTGACAAGAAGAATATAATTAACCAAGTAATCAATTTTTGTCACTCTCTCATTAAGTTGAGATTTTGAAGGTTCCCCTTTCATCGGGGTTAAACTGGAATTGTTTTGATTGATTTGGTTTCTTCTGGAACAATTAATTAATTAACTGTTGTTGTTGTTGTTTCTCCAATTGACTAGACTTTGTGTCTAAAGGAGTTGGTCGATTATCTTATGGAATATTAAATTGTTACTAAGATAATTTTTTTTTCCTAAATAGAATAGAAAAGAAAAGAAAAATATTCTTTTTCTAAGTTATTCTCTTTGTTCAAAATTGTGATGTAAAAGGTAATTAAAGGTGTTGATGATTAGAAAATTAGTTAATTCCTTGGTGTTGAAACATTATACTCTTTGTGTTGGTGAATTTAGGTTACCATGGATTAAGAAAATTAATCATTTTGATTATCCAATGGAATCGCCTCAAGTTATCAGGAATTATTCATTAACCGTAAACAAATGGAGATAAAACAAAAGATTTCAACTAAATCAGTTCAAGTGAGAGAGGGAAAGAGAGATATGAATACCAGAGAAAGAGAAATAGACAGAGAGAAAAGGATTAAGAAGGAATTGAGAGAGAGGGATGATTATGATGAGAGATTTGATTGTTTACCTTTGAGAAGATGATGAAAAGGAAGAAGAAGAAAAGTGAATAAGCTTATCGGTTTTCTCTTTCTATTTCTCTTTCATTTTGTTCTATTGAAAGATGATGAGAAGGGAAGAGCCGGTGTTGAGAAAAGAGATAGAAATAGAAAGAGAGAAATAAGATGAACATTGGAAATGATGATGAAGGTTTAAGAAAGAAAAATAGACAGAGAAGAAAAGGAAAGAGAGATGAGTTTGTGTCTCTCTTTTTTGTTGTGAGTCGAAGCTCTCACAGGTCGTGAGGAGAAAACATTGTTCATGTTATTTTCCATTCAATTAATTGTTTTCGTTTAATTGTTGTTCATTTTTTTTCTTCTTTAACTCATCACACTTCTTTACTCTCTATCTTTGCCTCTCTCTCTCTCTCTCACTCACTTGATTTCTAATATAATTGTGATGATTATGGAGAAATTAATTACTGTTTAACCTCAACTCTTTTCTCTCATAATCTTCGACATTTTTGTTTTTTACTCTTCTTCTATTCTATTCTACCTTATTCTCATCTAATCCTATCTGGTTGACTTGTTCTTCTTCTTAAAATCCATCTCTAAATATTCATCTTCATCCATATTTCTCACCATATTATCCATCTTTTCAAGTCATTCGAATATTTTAATTTCTTTTCCAGTGTGACCTTTGTTTTCTTCTCTCTCTATATATTTTCTTCTCACCTCAACACATACAAACTTCAGCATTCACAAGGAGAATATATGGGAAAAGGTTCTGGTTGGTAAAGAGTTTTGATTGTTTACTCAATCAACTCGTTCACCAATCTTTCACCTTTTCTTAAATATTGAACCCTTGGAATTGAATAACTTGAGGAGAACCTTTAATTTCTACTGGACATCAAACAACATTTACATTTCAACATTTTAACCTAAAAAAAATGATCTAAATTCTGTTCGTTTCTTTTTCTACCTTTTGAGTTACATACATATTCCTATTATAATACATCTCATACATCTACTACTAGACATAACTACCCGACATCTTTTCTCATCATAAATCAGTGTTACTTATTTTCTACTTTTATCATTAATTGGTTGAGAATATCACCTACATCATCTTGTGTGTTATTTTCGTCCTGTTCTTGTGTCATACTTGTTGTTGCATCTCAATTTCCTCTATTTCTCTACCTTGTGGCATCTTTACCTTTGCTATTTTCTATCTCTTTTTCCTTGGGTTATGGAGAAACCTTATGAACTATCTAATGTATCTGATTTTATAGATACCTCACCAAAACAAAGAAAACAATCAAACCCGACGATCAGAAAAGATGATATCAACTATGTTAATTATCAAGAAGAAGACCAAATGGTAAGTTTAACAATAGAATAGAAGAAAAAAAAAATATTCTATCGACAATTATTATTCCCTTGTCTTCCTTATTTCTTCCTTCCTTTTCCTCTCCATTGATTGTTTCTTTTTCTCTCTCCCTCTCTGTCCTTTTTTCTTCCATTACCTTTTTTCTCTTCCTTGTCTCATCAAATTGTCAGTAGATTTTTTTCCTAATCACTAACTTATTAATCTTATTCTTTTAGGAGGTCTCTGGTTATCAATTATCTAATTTTCTTAGAGCAATTACCTGGTTCATGATATTTCTGACATTAGGACTACTTCGGTTATTATTTCATTGGAAACCTCATTGGATGTTAATCTGTACCCATCGGAGATGTAGACTAAAAGATGCATCTAAAGTTATGTTGATTGTAAGTCGATTGTGACAGTTGGTGTTTTTGTTTTTTTTTTCTCTATTCAGCTAATTCAATAGTCTATCATTACCATTTAGTTAATTGTTTCATTAATACATTTAACCTTCAGTAATTACCTCCAATTTTGTGTGTTTAATCTAATTTATCTTGGTCTTATTTTGATTATGTTTGTCTTCTCAGGATACATACAATCAAATTTATGTGGAAACAATTAAAAAGATGCATTCAGCTGTTTTACCTTATTTTCAACTCAATTGCCAATCAAAAGAAAGTATCGAATCGATTAAAAATTATCCAAATCAATCAAATTCACCCACAAACCATTGGTCATCGTCTTTTGATAAGCCTAAAAAACGCAGTGATGGCGCTTTTAGAGATGCTGATTGTTTCTCCTACTTCGACAATAAAAGACTTCGATACATTTGGGACGAGGAAAGTCAATCATTTGTTAAGCTCAGTGGACTTGATAGAAATGTCGATTGCTCATTTTTTTATCATCAACATGGACTTTCACCAGCTGATCAATCCAAAAGGTGATTATGATTATCTAACATCTTATCTCATCTAATTAACCTTTAAATTGATTATGAAAAAAGTAGTAAAAATTGAACTTTACAGTTATCTTTCCTGATGAACTATCTTTTATTATTTAGAATCTTGAATAATCAAGTCTTCAATTACAAGATTAAATTTAATTAGCCCTTAATTAACAATGTTGTAAGCTGAGGCAATAATGTTGACTCATTTTGAGAAAATAATTGTTATTCATCTGGATTATCATGAAACGTAAGATTATTAATTACCTGATGAAATAATTACCTACGTAAATGAAATAATAGATTAGTTGAAAGCTATTCTGTTTATCATTAAAAGGATAAATCAATGGATTAGATTAAGCTTTTTTTGGCGCTTTTTTAAATCAAGTTCCAAATTAGATTTGATTAATCAGTAAGATTTTTAATAAGTTTAACTTTTTCTTTTCTCTCCTAGACTGAAATTGTTTGGACCAAATGCTATTGTCGTCGAAGTACAATCGATCCTTCAAGTATTTTTCAATGAAGTTCTTGAACCTTTCTACGTTTTTCAAATCTACAGCATCGTTCTTTGGTGTTTCGATAACTACTATTATTATGCTTCTTGTATTCTCATGATGTCAGCTTTATCATTGGGATCATCTCTTATCCAAATCCGTCGGAATCAGCGGCAACTTCGTGATACAGTTCAAGGTGTTGACGCGGTTACAGTTTGTCGGGGTAATGATGAAACGGAAGAAATTGAATCAAGTGATCTTGTTCCCGGAGATGTAATAATTTTACCTCCATACGGATGTATAATGCAATGTGATGCAGTTCTAATTAGTGGTAATGCCATTGTTAATGAATCTGTTCTTACGGGTGAAAGTGTTCCAGTTACCAAGATTCCACTTTTATATCATGAAGATGATTTTTATAATTCTAAGGAACATGGTAAACATACTTTATTCTGTGGTACTAAGGTCATTCAAACTCGTTACTATGATAGCTCAAAGGTTAAAGCGGTGGTCATTCGTACTGGTTTTCTAACCTCAAAAGGTGAACTGGTTCGATCTATTATGTTCCCAAAGCCGGTTGATTTTCATTTTAATCGTCAAATATATAAGTTTATTTTATGTCTTGTGGTTCTCGCTGGTCTGGGTTTCATCTATTCTGTGATATTAAATGTTAAACGTGGTGTCTCCGCCAAGGAAATTTTTCTCAAAGCATGTGACCTGATAACGGTTGTTATACCACCTACCCTGCCCGCTGCGATGACCATTGGTGTTGTTTATGCTCAATCACGATTAAGACGTTCTAATATTTTTTGTATCTCACCAAGATCCATCAATATCTCCGGTTGTTTGGATTGTGTTTGCTTTGATAAAACTGGTACATTAACTGAAGATGATCTTAGCTTTTCCGAGATTATTCCAGTTGATCCTATCACATCTCGATTAACCTTTCCCGTTCGTAATCCGTCTCAATTACCCACTGGACCAATATTATCTTGCCTGTCAACCTGTCATTCATTAACAATTATTGGAGACAATTTAGTCGGCGATCCATTGGATTTGAAAATGTTCCATGCAACCGGATGGATATTGGAAGAACCTTCAGTTGATGACGAAAATAAATATGATCTATTAGCACCGACAATCGTTAAACCAGGAAATTCTGGTATCGATGCTGATGAGGTGATAAACAACGATATTGAGATTGGCATCTTGCGACAATTTCCTTTCTCATCTAGTCTACAAAGAATGTCAGTTATCACTCGTCTCCTTGGAGACGATCATTTTGTCCTTTACGCTAAGGGAGCACCGGAAATGATCTCTAAATTGTGCCTTAAGGAAACCATACCCTCCAATTTTTCCGACATCCTAATGGGTTATACGGAAAAGGGTTATCGTGTTCTGGGTATTGCATCTCGTGATCTTCATTTATCTTACTCTAAAATGCAACGAGCACCTCGAGAAGAGATTGAACAAGATATGAAGTTCTTGGGTCTTCTTGTCATGTCCAATGTCCTCAAACCAGAAACAACTTATATCATTCAAACACTTTCAACGGCTAACATTAGATCGGTCATGATTACCGGTGACAATATGTTAACAGCTCTAAGTGTAGGTCGGGAATGTTTAATGATTAAACCAAATGATAAGGTTGTATTGTTGGACGCAATTGAACATGATTCATCTGCACTATCACCTCCATCGTTAACTTGGAGATTTGCCAATGCAGATCATCAATCAGCAACAAAACCCTTTGAAAACAATGGCAACAATAATAATCATCATAACGATCATCAACTTAAATCAACTAGTTTAGATTTTGTTAAGGTTGTCATTGATTCTGATGAGAAATTACATATCGCTATTACTGGTAAAACATTTCGAGTACTTCGTGAATATTATCCTGACCTTTTAAACAAAGTAGCCATTCGTGGCACCATTTTTGCTCGTATGGGACCAGATCAGAAACAGCAACTTATCGAGCTTCTTCAAGATTTAGGCTATTATGTTGGTATGTGCGGTGATGGTGCCAACGATTGTGGTGCTCTCAAAGCTGCTCACGCAGGTATCTCACTATCAGATACGGAAGCATCGGTGGCCTCACCTTTCACCTCAAAGACACCAAACATTTCCTGTATACCTGTTTTAATTAGTGAAGGTCGAGCCTCTCTGGTAACGGCCTTTGGTATCCTAAAATACATGGCCTGTTACAGTCTTGCTCAATTTATTTCTGTAATTATTTTGTACGCTGTAAGTATTGATACGAAAAAATTTCCTAAACACTTATTAATTACAACTAATTAATCAACAATTTTTATTCCCTTTCTCTTAGTATCATTCAAATCTATCAGATATGGAATATCTTTATATTGATCTGTTTTTAATCTCTCTTTTCTTCGTTCTTTGTGAGTATTATATTGACAACAATCAATATCATAATCGAGAGTCACACTCTATTATTATTACATAATTGTAATTGTTTTTCTCATCTCTATTATTGTCATATTATTTTTGGAAAAATCAGTTGGTCGCACTGAGTCTTTCACTGAACTTTCAAAGAATCCTCCTCCGTCCTCTTTGGTTGGAATTGTTCCTCTTGCCTCCTTATTCCTGCAAATAGTTATCATAATCATCTTCCAAATGACCGCAGTGGTTGTTTTATGGGCCCAACCCTGGTACATTGTCCACACTCCGATTGATGAGGAAGATGTCGCTTGTCACGATAATTATGCCATATTTTCCGTCTCCGTTTTCCAATACATAAGTCTTGCTCTGGTATTTGCCAAAGGAGCACCTTACCGGAAGCCAGTTTACTCCAATAGTTAGTTTTAATTACAATAATAATAACAAAACACTCTACTTAATTAATAGCATCACAGACTAACTAATGTTTATCTTAATTCCTAATCATACAGAATGGTTCATCTCAGCTATAGTGGTTATGACTATCTTAACTTCTTACATAATTCTCATTCCTCCGCCATGGCTTTCTTCACTTCTAGAGGTAAATTGTCATGATTAACATAAATCAACATTGATATTAATTATCTTCTTTATCCTTTTTCTATTATCTTTCAGCTGGAGGTTACTGGTGTTGCCATGGAGTTTAGATTTTTCTGTTTACTCTTGGCTTTATTAAATTTTATCTTTTCTTACCTTGCTGAGGTTCGTTGATTTAATTATCTATACACTTTGAATGGAATTAATTCTCTCTTTTTATTTCTACCCCTTTCTCTTTCTATCATTTCAATAGTCCTTTATTGTTGATTATTTAATCCACGTTAAATTGCGATCACTTCAATGGGTTAAATCATTTTCTGGTCAAAAACCTTATGAGATAATTGAACGTGAGACTGAAAACAACACTACTTGGCTTCCACCGAGACTTAGGTAAATATAACTAATTCATTGAAGAGATTTTGTTTTACCATTATACAAGATTAATAATCCTTTTTTTTTTACTACTCTCACAAAGATTAAGTATTTAGATCATAATTCTTGGCAAAATGTTAAACCTCTTAATCCTTTTTCATTGACTCTCTAGTCTTACATGTCTATGTCTGACTTTTTCCAAGTTTATTATTATTATTTATTAACACTAATATTGTTTCTTTGTTTTCTTTTTTTTCTGTTCAGTCTCCCATCAAGTTTATCAGATCTTCAAGAAGCTGCTACAATTATGTGTGAAAATGGAGATGATGACATTGATTCAGGAAAAAGGAAACATTCAACCGATGCAAATGGAATTTCCTCCAAAGAATCTAATTCAGAATCTGGCATCTCTCTTTCATCTCCAGCATCAATGGCATCGGATAAAGTTTAATTTCTTCAAGATAACGATTTTGTTAATTCTAATTATCGATAATATTTACCAATAATAATCAAAGAGACAACAAAAAATTGTTCTGTTCATAAACTATACACAAATTGAGATACAAAAAAAAATAAGAATTATGTTCATTGATTAATATATAATATTTGTAATACATTGTCTTTCTTATTTGTTATTAATCTTCAAAAAGCTTAAATTGCTATTTGAAGTTAAGTTTGTTTTATTTTCTAATCTATTAATTATAACATCGAGAGTTAACCAAATGATTAAAAGGTCTCCGTTTCCCATAACCGAGACCAATTGTAGAAACTTTTCAATCAACTCTCATCTTAAAACCGGTAAACTTTTAAAATTGAAAAAAAAAGTTTCCATCTCAATCAGAATTTGATTAAGAAAAAAAGTTCGCTTTTAATCATCGGAAGCTTAACAATTAAATCTTTTTCCAGCTCGTTTAGATTGAATGGATTTTCTTATCCATTATTTATCTTTGAATAAGTTACCTTTTTTTTGTTTGGAAATTAAGTAACTTTCTCACTGATGATGATAACAATTAATCTGAGTGTTAATTAGACAAATTGAAGAGTAACACTGATTAATAATTCTTGAAACATTGCATTTGAAGTTGAGCTTCAGCGATATCTTGAAGAGCTTTTTGTATCTGTTCCAATAGTTTCTCTCCTTTGGCGACAGTTTCCTCTAATCTTTGAGCCGCTTCTTGATTTTCTGCCTCTAATCTTTTCAAATGCGAAGCCTGAATACACAAAATGAATAGAAAAAAGATTAACAAAGAGAAACAATGATAAATATCACCATCAAAAGAATATTAAAATTAATTGTTATGAGAATCTTTTTTGTTTACCTGAAGCTCTGGTGTTGACTCTTCACTTGGAAGTGAATCAATAAGAACATCGATATCTTTGGCTGTTCTTGCAATTAATTGAGCAAATAATTGGGGATAATCTTCACCGGGAGATGAATCTTCATTAGCCGATGCCTTGGATTTCTCGAAATCAGGGAAAAAACTTGGCTTGGAAAATTGTTGAATTATACCAATACTATTGCAGAAATTTTCAGCCTGAATGTTGACAGCATCTTGGATTTGAGTTAATCTATCGGCCATAATAGTTGGGGGAAGGAAACAAAGTTGAACAATCACAGAAACACACACAGGACAATTAGAAAACAAAACAATCAATTAATTAGCAAGATTAATGAAGCAATTAAAAGAAAAATAGACAATTGAGTTAAATGATGATTAAATTGTCAACAAAAAGAAACAATAACAAAACTGAAAAGAGAATGAGAGTCAGCGCCATCTGGTGAATTATCGGTCAACCAAAAAACGAAGAAAAAAAATTTCGAAATTGATTTAACTAAATCGATTACAATTACGATTTAAAGGGTTAAATTTTTAAATTAGTGAATAAATGATCACTTGCCTGATTAATTGATTGTTGGTAAAGTTAATTTGAAGATTTAAGTTGAAAAGGTGATTCTTATAGTAGTGGAACCAATTTATTGGATGTTTAACTTTTCAATTGTTTTTTTTTGTTAATCAACCAATTAATTGATTCATTAGCTACTTAATTGTTTTCAATTGTGTATAATTGTTAGAATGAAAGTTAAGGTTAAAGAAAGAAATTAATTAAATAAAACAATTTAATTGAAAATCGAGGATTTCAATTGGCATGAGTATCAATTGGTTCCATTGAGATTGTTAAGATGACCACTAATCTATTGTAGTGGTCAGTTAAACCTTGACTTAACAGAAGGAGAGAAAGAAAAAGTTTAATTAATTAAATAATTGTTTGTGTATTAATTTATTGTGTCAAATTGTGATTATTGTTTATCTCTTAATATCCAAATTGAAACCTTGAATAATCTCAAATGAAAGTGTTAACAACTGACCATTGGCTATTTCGAGAAGAAGAAGAAGAGAAAAAAACAAATTCGAAGGAAAAAAAAAGTTAAGAGAGAGAGAAAGAAAAAATTATATTAACCATGATTGACCATTTGCTGTGGACACTGAAAACAATAATTAATATCTCTCAAGATAGAGAGTTGAAAATATCAGAAGCAATTGAAGTTAAACAACCTTGAAGGTGAACAATTAGTTAATTGTTTGACTAATTCAATTTTTGATTTGTTTTCTTTTATCATCTTTAATTGTATACAAACACATGGGTTAGAAGCATGGAAACATCCGCTACACCTGATGATGATGATGATGATGATGATCTGTTCACAATTAACAAGGAGATTTACCCAAGGACAATTAACCAATTGATTTAAACAAAACAAACGAATCATCATCACCTTAATCATTTGAGTTTAATATCGTGAGTTTCATTGTAATAATAATAATCAAGAAACAAGAGAAACAATTGACCAAAAACAATTTCATCATCTTAATGATCAACAAAAGGATAAATTGATTAACACGGCAGCGATTAAAGAAATTAAATTGTAAAACCAATTAGACCAAGAAAATGCAAAATGATTTAAATTGTGAACCAATTGTGAGCAATCAGTAGTAACTTTCAATTGAGAAAACGTTTTGAAAGTGAAACAATCAAAATTTACTACGAATCAAATAGGAACCACGATTTTGCTTGAATCGTTTTTTTTCTTACCTGAAGATGAAAATGAGAGAGAGAGAGAGAGAAGCAGAAGAAGATGATGAAAACGCCCTTACCTTTATCTTCCCTTGGAAAAAGAAAGAGACAAGTTAGAGTACTACAAGTGCCCTTAACCCGCCTTCTCTTTAAAGAGACTTGTTATCTTCTCTTTCTTTACTCTCTTTTCCTTCATCTTCTCTTACACTCTGAACTTAGAATTTATCTTCATCTCTCTCTCTCTCTCTTTTCTATCATAAATGTTCATTCTAACCAAATGATACCTTCAGTTTAGATTAATCTTCAATTCTAATAACAACATTATGATTATCGATTCCAACGAGTAACAATTAACTGGGTTAACGAAAAACTTTGAACTGAATAAAAAGTTTTCCATTTTCTTTCCCATGTTAATCAATCGGATTTAATTTTGGTTGGTGATTTTTACCATTCGACAAGTGACAATAATCCTAATCAAGTTGATACTTTTCTTAGAACAAATTAAAAATTGTGAAATCGAAAATTTTTTCTGTTCTTCTTTTTTTAGAAACTTTTTTGTTTCTGTTATTTGATGAAAGTTCTTGGTCCAGGTAACAATTTATTACGCTTTTGGTCGTGATTTTAATTATCTAATCTCATCAATCATCTTTAAGTGACTTTTTATCCACTGAGACTCAGGGAGCTGACCAAATATACATAATAATCAAGTATCTCAGTTGTTAATTCAATTGAAACAATCACAAAAACAGAGACCGAGAGAGAGATAGAAGAAGACAAAAAGACAAATAAACATCATCATCATCATCATCATCATCATAATCATCAGAGGAAGTCGTTGATAGAATCTTTTTCTCTCTCTCTCTCTTCTTATCATCATCAACTCTTACCTGTTGCTTGTTTCCTCTCTTATCTTCATCTTTCATTCTTACCTTTCATTTTCATTCATCTTCATCTTCATCTCTCTCTTTCTGTCTCTCTCCTTTCATTCATTTTGACGAGTCAACTAAAAGATTCCGTTGACTTTGTGAGCAAGTGAAAAAAAAGTAACATTCAACATCATCATCTCAACAATCAACACTGATTATCAACTGGGCAATTTAAGGTCCAGGTCAGTATTTGAAACTCTCAGTTCTTAGTGCTGGTTAGACCGTGACAATCAACTAACATCCTTTGACAATTTACTCTGCAAATTTCACTCACTCATCATCATCTTTATCCCATTGGTAATCCTTCATTCATCCAATAGTTGATATAACAAAAAAAATAACAATCGTGATTGTCAACAGTCAACAAACAATCAAAATTACAATCAATTGAATGTTTATCATAACGTTTTCATATCATTGAATAACGTTCATCATTATTATCTAGAATCTGTTTCTATTACCTCCCTGTCATCATTCAATATTGTAAATTGATAATCTAATCAATCTAATCATCTCAACATGATTGAATTTAAATTCTGGACTATTGTTACCATTACATTGACCTGGGTAATTCAAATTCAATCCCAACAACAACAACAACAACAGTCACAACCACAACAATCAAAACTTCAACAACGTCAAGGTAAATATATTGATCATTATTATAGTGAATTTTGTTTTCTCTCTAATTATCACAATTTAATCAAACGGAAGTTAACGGTTCAACGATTTAAGAAAAATTTAGAAATGAATGAAGAAAAAAAAACTTCACAATCAATTGATTGATTTAGATCGTTTAACTTTCTATTATCAAATTATAAATACTTTCCTTTTGATACTAATCAAGTTAATCATTAACATTAGAACCATTAAAAATTAGTGTAAATATTGAAATAATAGTAATCAAATATATTAGTAATTGATTATCACAACAATTTAATAAGTTTGATAAGTTTAAATTGTAAACTTATTATCCTTGAGTAATTAACTTTTCCCGTCTGGATCAGTGTTGAAGTGTTTCAAATTTAATTGGAAACTTTAATCTTATATAATAAGTGATTGTGATTATCACAATTAAATTTAATTAACTAATACTGATAATATTGTATTGGAAACTGTCAAATTTTGATTATCATTTAAATTGTCGGGATTTTTGTTGATCATCATAATAAGTAATTCAGCTGATTTCAAGTCACTTTTGATTTGTCTCCTTGGGGCTTTTGTTGATGTTGTTGTTTTTTTTCATATGTACAAGATGATGAAGATAAATAGGAAGATGAGGATGAGGATGATATTTAAAACATTGGAGATTGAGAGTTAATTATTGGGAGGAGAAGATTTTTATTCTTTTGTTTTTTTCTTCATTTTCGCCATCATTTACCTTTATATTAAATTCTGTGATAGAAATTAGTTTTCCATCTCGAGATTGGAAAAAGAAAAGTAAAACTTATGATATTAATTAACTATCGTTAGTTGATGCGAGAGAAATTGATTAAATGATGGAAATTAAATTGAGAAATACAAATGAATATATCAAATTAATAATTACACCGTTTCAATCACTTGATTGTCTTAAATGTAAGTAACAATTAACCAAGTAATTGTGTAATTAT